GTTTCCGTTTTGAGCGTTTCGTCACTCTGTCTCTCTCGCACCCATGTGCGAAACGCCGCGTGAATCGCCTTAAGAGTGCGGGAGAGAGACACTAGACGAAAGCAGTGTTCGTTTTAGAAACGTGACAAGGATCAGTCTCTGCTGTAGAGCTTTTGGACATTGTGGTGCCTGTCGCTAAATTAATGCTCTCGTTCGGTAGTTTCGTCTCTCTAGTTGCTGATTCAAATGTGGCGAGTACTCGCTGTCGGCAGTAGTCCGCCGTCCGTTCCGCCGGCTCCAGGGCGTTCAAACTGCGGCCCCGTTCGCGCCGCCACCGGCCGTCGCTACTCCACGTCGGCGGGCGGCGGCACCATGGAGGGACCTCGGCGCGGGAGTCTCTCCGCGCGCCGCTCCAGCGCGTGGTGCGTGCCGCGGCCGGCAGGGGGCGCTGGTGCACCGCTCCAGAAAGCAGAAACCTGTTCCCGTCTCGCTCTCCCTCCGGAGGGAGCACAGTGGGCCAGAAGACCGGTGGAGGCGGTCGAAATCCCGGACGCGTTTCCAGCTCCAGATTCGCTAAATGGGACTCGAACCGAACGTGTGGCCCTACCAATGGATTGCTCTCCGAACGAGGAATTCATTGGTGGGGTCATACGCTCGGTTCGAGTCATGTTTACTGCCTCTGGAGCTGAAAGCGCGTCTAGAGCTTTGGCCGCCGGCGCCGGTCTTCTGGCCCACTGTGCGGAGCCGGGCGGCGGGCGGGGAGGACGGAGCAGGGGATTTGCATCGGCATTCGATTGGAACCCGACCCGACCCGGCCGGCCCGATCTCGCCCGATCTCCGAATGCGATGCCCGGTCACTTCGCGGCGAGGCACTTCGTGTCCACTTCGTGCACCGCAAATCGCATCCATATTCACGTCCACATTCGCCTGCCTCGCGAGCGTAGCGCCCCCGAGTCGCGTGGGAGGCACAGTGCGCGTCACTCGGTTTACTACCTGCAATTGAAATTCCCGCATCGCAACTTCACTGTAAAAAAAGGGGGGGGAATTTTGTTGAAAGTGGATTTTGCAGCTCGGCTTGTGCTGTATACTTTATGCGCGCGAACGTTATCCCCGGGTCGGCATAAAGAATGTTGTCAGGCAGACTTCCGCCCCCTCACAGTGTGGCGACACCTTTCGTGGTCCTCGCGCCGTCCTGCCGTCCTGCGGACTGACGCCGAGAGTCGTTTTCGTCGCCCTGTCTCTCTCGCACTCGTGAGGCGTGCCGTATAGGTGCGAGGGAGAAGGAGCGACCAGAGCAACTCTCGGCAACTCCGCCGGCGCGGCTCGACCGCCTCGGAGGTGTCGTGTACTTTGACTATCTGCCCGCGCCACAAAGCATCCCTCCCCTCCCTCTCCCAGCGCCATCCGCTCACCCTTCCGCGCGCCGCCCCACGAGGCCCAGGAACTGCAGCGGTGATAAGGAGCACATCAGGCTCACCCAAAAAGGAGAGAGAGAGAGAGAGAGAGAGGAGAGAGAGAGAGAGAGAGACAACTCACAGGCTATAAGTACGTTTCTACATAGTCGGCCAACACAGTTGTGCTTCTTTATGCTACATCGAAGCCGTCGACTTCGGCACCGTGAGGTGATTTCGACTGGCAATAGACTAACCTAACTTTTTCAAAATGTTCATCTGCTCTTTTGCCAGCAGCAGCTTCATGACCAGCTTTGAGCTCTGCAGGAATGGAACGAATCGCGCATCATTTCTCCAGTTGTCCCACGTTTCGCGGAAGTCACCCCGATGGACGGTGTAAACTTCTTAGCAACGTCTGCGAGCGACCGTTCTTTTCGCAGCGTGCGAATCGGAACAGGACGCGCGAGAGACGTGAAACGGGTCGCTCTGAATTTTTCATCCCCAGTCATTTTCCGTCCGTCCGCTGCTTTTGTGGTCCGCCCGCTCGCTGGTTGTTGGTTGACCCTTCTGCGCCGTTCGGAGAAGTGATGACGCCAAAATGATGACAGCGCGGAAGCAGTCACAATTTCCGTGTGCTGGGGGCGGGGCGGGGCGCGGTGGCCGTTATCGGCAGCGCCTCAACACCCCGCCGCCCCACCCCGCCACCCGCCGTGCTTTTTGATAGCGGAGTACAGGAGGGAGAGACGCTCGGAAAAGAATCCCGCTGGGTTCGCGTTAAAAAGTGCCAAAGTACGAGACGAAAACGACTCTCTGAATCAGTTGCTGGCAGCGCGCACGGCCGCACGGCCTCGTCGACCCGGTCGGCCCGAGGCTCGCCTTGTGGGGGCTTTACCGTCCCATTCACCTTTAGGACCCTCGGCCTCTCGGGCCGGGCCGGGGGCGGAACAAAACACAACAATGTTGAGACAGCTGGTGGCCGGCGGGGCACACAGTGCGCCTCACAGTGGGCCACACAGTGGGCCCGCGGCAGGCAGAGCGACGGAGATGGAGAGTGCGGCGCGAGCAGATCCGGCGGTGGGGCCGGCGGGCAGAGCGGCCTGCACTGCAGGACTCCTCCAGGACCTGGAATGACCCCCCCCCCCTCCTGGTCCTCGCCTGCCTCGCCGCGGCGCACCCTGCCCCAGCGCCACGCCACGCCGCGCCACGGCCGACGGGTTGTGGACACCCACGCATCGCCATTGGCGACCGTCCGGGCGTCCCGGCCCCGTCCCGGCCCAGGCCGCCGGGCCGTGCGGCCTGCAACGCAACTCTCCAGCCGAGTCTCCAGCCGCCTGCAGTCGTAACGTTCCAGGAGACTCCAGCAGGGAGTTCCAGCCATATAGGACGAATGCAAATCTTGCATTGGCAGCCGGGCTCGGCGGGCTCCTCCCCGTCCCTGGGTGATGCGGGGACACACTGGCTGCAGTGCAGACTGATTCCGAGAGTCGTTTTCGTCGCTCTGTCTCTGTCGAACCTATGCGGGACCCTCCATGGGTGCGGGAGAGACAGGCCGACGAAAACGACTGCGGGACACCTTCCAGCGTCCAGGACTCGATCCAGGTCCTGAGGGGCACGCCGTACGTTCGAGGAGGAGTACCAGCCGAGAAGCAAGTCTACTTCCTGCAGGCTCATTCCGAGAGTCTGTTTGCGTCACTCTGTCTCTCTCGCACTCATGTGGCGTCCAGTATGGGCACGAGAGAGACTGAGCGACGAGAACAAGTCTCGAAATCAGTGTGCTGGAAAAGCTGAAGCGGGCGATCCCCGCGCTGTACGTAGAAGCAAGTGCACTTCCTGGAGAAGCGGGCGGTGTCTCTGGAAAAGCGGGCGAGGATCCTGGAGCGGTAGGCGCGGCGCGTGCCCAGGGCCTGGCGCCACGGAGGCGCGGGGCGGGGCGGGGCGGGGCGGGGCGGGGCGCGGCGGTCCAGACGGGCGGCACGGGGCGGATACGGACGGATAAGCCCCGCGCGCGCCGCGCTGTGCCGCGACGCCGCGACTCGCCGAGAGAGAGAGAGAGAGAGAGGAGGGAGAGAGACGGCAAGAGGCGTAGGAGAGGAGAGAGGCGAGGCGAAGGGAGCCGAGTCCGTGTGGGCAGAGCGACCGGGCCGGCCGACCCGACCCGTCCTTACCGCCAGGCAAGCTCCGGGCAGGCTCCAGCCGCTCCAGCCGCTCCAGCCGAGGCTCCAGCAGGCAGCGCGCCAAAGCAGCGCGCCAAAGCAGCGCGCCGAGCGACGCACCAAGCCCGGCTTCGGCGGCGAGCAGCGATAGAGACAGAATAAGAAAATAATCGTAAAAGTAAATAAAGAAAAGCAAGCGATACGAGGGAGACACCTCCAGCCTGCCCAGCCCGGTCCGGCCTCCGGCTGCCTCCGGGCCGGATGGCCGAGGTTAGGTTAGGCCGCCAGCCCCGCCAGCCCCGCCAGCGCCGTGCCGCCTTGGCCGCGGTGGCGTGCGGACGGCCGCGCCGCAGCCCCGCAGCCCCGCAGCCCGCGGTACGTCCGAGGGGGCGGGGGACGACGGGCCGCGGGGGACCGCGGGGGGCTCCGGGACCAGTTGCAGCGACGGGCGCGCGCCCAGCGGCCACCAGAGGAAGGAGGCTTATGCCTGGCAGGCCAGGGCAGGCCAGGGCGGGCCGCCGGGGCACGGCGCTGGCACGGCAGGGTCGGGAAGGTGAGGCGGGCGGGGCGGGGCGGGGCGGGGTTGGGCGGGGGGCAGCCGAATCCCTGAGTGGGCAGCACGCCGAGCTCATTCATGTCCTGGCCGGAGCGGCGCGTGGAGCGAGCGACGACGACGCGCGTGCAGCGGCGACACCGGATTCGAAGCGCGGCCCCGCGGCCCCGCGGCCAGGACAGTGTCGCGTCGAGGCCCCGTGTACAGTGTGGCAGTGTCGCGGAAGAGGGCTGGGGGAGGACCACCCCGTCAGTGCAAGTGCAGTGCGTCAAGTGCCAGTGCAGTGCGTGTGTGTGATTGTGTGCAACAAGTGGCCCACGTGCGGCGGGGCTTGTCCCGAGGGCTCACTCGGCGGCCACTCGGCCGTGGGGCCGGCCGGCGGCAGGACAACGGCGCCGCGGTCCAGCTGCCCACGCAGCCGGCCTTCCGGTCGACGGAGAGGGTTCATCGGCGAGGTCAATGGATGCGTGCTGCTCTTAGCGCTGCTACATATTGAACGCGCGTGAGCGGCGGGCCGGCGGGTCAGAGGTCGCCGAGTCCAGTCCGAGGCCGGGGCAGAGGCCGCGGGCCAGTTCCAGGGGCAGGGCGGGCAGGCAGGGCAGGAGCGTCAGGCGGCTCCCCGGCCCCTCTCCCGCGTCTCGCTCCAGCGTCTCGCTCCAGCCGGCTCCAGCCGCGCCGCGGGAGGGACAAGGATGCCGCGCCAGTGCCGGACCAGTTGGGAAGGGCACGGCGTGGCGGGGCGAGCCGCAGCCTGGCGCGCCGGGGCTCTGGCTCCTCTGGCTCTGGCTCCTCCGGCCCCGCACACCCACATATTTGTCTCCGTGGAGGACAATGACTCCGCGTGGTGACTTGGGTGACCTCCCAGACGCCACCGTGCTGGCCTAGAGGCCCCGGAGGCCGCCCTCGAGGCGACACCACGCCGTCATGGCGCACCTGCAGCCGCGCGCCGCCACCAGCTCCAAGGAGAGAGTCGCCAGCCCCGAGTCCGCCGTCGGCTCCCCGGAGTCGGACAGCCTGGACCTGATCCTGGACGCGAGGAAGTCGGCGCTGCCCTCGCGGCGCACGCTGGCCGTGCCGCACCAGAACCTCAACAACAACATCCTCAAGAGGCCCCGCCAGCCGCCACCGCGCCGCGGCGCCGGTCGCCTCGCCAACGGCGCCAACGGCAAGGCGCTGTCCCTGGCCTCGTCCGGCGCGTCGTCCGACCAGGAGGAGGCCGTGCCCCTCACCAAGAAGCCCTTCGTGGTGCGCCGCCGGTTGCGCGCCGACGACCCCGACGACGAGGACGTGTGCTTCGACCTGTCCGTGGACGCCGCCCTGAGCCGCAGCGACGACGGCAGCGCCGACGAGGCCGTGGCGGCGGCCAGCGGGGCCAGCAGCGCCGAGGACGAGGACCGCGATGACGAGGTAACGACGGCCGCCGAGGACCGCGACGACGACGGGTTTGACTGAACCGCGCGCCGCGCTCTGCATCGCACAGGGACGGACCCTGGCATGTCGGCATGGACATTGGTCGGGGCGTGGCGCGGCGGGGCGCGGCGGGGCGGGGCGTGGGCGTTGCCGCGTGCAGTGTGGTGCGGTACACTCCCCCTCAGCAGCACGCCGGGCCGGGCCCCGCCGGGGTACAGTCCGCACCGCGGCGATGGGGGGCGTAATGCAGCATCCCACGCCTCACGGCGACACCGCACCGAACGCCTTACAGTGAAGGCAATCTCACCTCGCACTGCTCGCCTTGCATTATTTTCCCCCGGCGCGCGGGGCGCCGCCACACTGTCTGACTTTGTCGCGCTTTTGGCCAACCGGCCGGCCTAGCCGGCAAATGTCACGCTGTGCAGCGAGTCCCGCTTACACGTTGCGCGATGCCGTTGCACCGTTACAGTGGCGCAGACTAGTTGACGCGGCGTCCTTGACGGCCAGGTAGCGGCCTTGGTGAAGGCCCTGACCCTCCTCCCTGACGCAAAACGGACAAGCCGCGGGGCTGCTGGCAGCAATGACAGCGCGCCTCCCTTGTTTCTGCAGACGTAACGGGACCTTTCTTCCTTTCTTCTCTGTCTCTCCCTTTTTTGCATCTCTATTTCTGCCGCTTTATGACGTCACCATTGTGTTTCGGTTTTTTCCTCGCGCGAGCCGGCCGGGAGCAGTCTTGCTTTTGGATATGCATCTGCGGACCTGCAGCCTTGTGCAACCTTGGCCGGCCGGGGCTTGCCGGGCCCGGACCCGTTTATAAAGTGAAGGCGGCTTTGCATTCTGCAGACTGATTCCGAGAGTCGTTTTCGTCGCTCTGTCTCGGGACGCCCCATGAGTGCGAGAGAGACAGAGCGACGAAAACGACTCTCGGAATCAGTCTGCTGCTTCCCTCTGGCTTTGGGCTGCCGGTCGAGCGAGCCGTGCCTACCAGTGGCGTGGCGGCCCGGGCGACTGACTCCCAAAGTGGCCCCCGTTTTGCATCGCCCGTCGAAGCCGTGCCTAATAGAGTCCTCCGACTGCATTTATTTCCTCAGTCCGCTTCTGTCACTCCAAAAAATAAAGTTTAACTATTTTAAACCGGGTTTCCTTTTCGGGGAGAAATTTGTCTCTGCCAAATATCTATCCCTTTCTCCTCGAGCCTCGTCTCCGTGCACGTGTCCCCCTGGGGTCCCCCTTCGCCACGCCACCTTTACTTGGGCATAGAAAATGCGAAGAGTGGCGACCAGTCCGGCGCGTTGCAGTGGTCGCTGTATACCCGCCGCGGGTCCAAAGGTCGTCGGTAAAAACTTCTTTAACGCGCTGCCTGGCCGTTGCTTGGCCGCTGCCTGCATTTGACTGATGAGTCGCCGTGTACCCCCCCCCCCCCTCTGTCCCGCAACTGGAACCCTGCTTTGCCACCTGGGCGCTTGCAGCGCTTGCAGCTACTCGTTGCAGCCGGTCCGGGGCCCGCTGCAGGCAAAGGCGCAAATGGCGATCCACGCCACTCGAAAATTACCACTCAATTAGAAGGGAAGGTTCGCGGGTTCGCGTCCCGCAAGCGGCGAGGGCCTGGGTCAAAACGGAGGGGGACTTTACTGCGGCGGAGTCGCGAGGTGGAAGCCATCGGCATGCGTCAACACGGCAGACTGATCCCGCGCCTCGTCGCTCTGTCTCTGTCGCGCGCGTTGGGCGTCCCGTGCGGGTGCGAGAGAGACAGAGCGACTCTGTGCTTCGATAGCGCGGCGGCGCCCATTGCTTTTGCGGTGCAACGTGATATGTTTGTTTGAAAACTCGTTTTCCTGATTGCTGGACGAACATTGCTCAAACGTTTTCTGCGATTCGTCGCGGGCCGAGAGGCGAGTCTGCCGCGACGCGAGGCGCGAGGCGCGGAGCACTGTGGCCGAGCCCGGCCGGCGGTGCCAGCCACATTTCTCTGGATTATCCCCGTGACAACTGAAAGGCTCAAGTCTGAAGGTGTCGCCGACGACGACCCCGCGCCGCGCCGTATGCGGGCTCGACTGCCGCTCGCCCCACTGCCGACTGATAAAACTCGCTTTTGATTCTCTTTTCGTTTCTGTTCCTGCGTTCTGCGCGCGAGGCAGTGGTTGTAAGTATGTAGCGGCTCGCGCCGCGACCGCCCGCGGCGGCATGGCGGGCTTCCCAGCAGACTCATTCCGAGAGTCGTTTTCGTCGCTCTGTCTCTCTCGCACGCCTGGATCATCCCGTATAAGTGCGAAAGAGACAACGAGAATGACTCTCGGAATGAGTCAGGGGCGCTGATCGGGAAGAGAGTGGCGCTGGTGCGGGTGCGCCGCCTGCGTTCAGGTCTCCAGGGCCTTTTCGTGGCGCTGTCCCTGCTGCCGTGCTGCCCTGGGGCGCGAGAGGGACAGAGCGACGAGATAGAGTGATGCTCGGAGTGGCTGGGCCCGCCGCCGTGGGGGGCACCTCCACTTCCTGCCGTGGGGCACCCCGACGTCGCGAGGATGCGTCGCGTAGCGTCGCGGACCCTCATCCTCATCCTCGGCCCTCGGCCACGCGAAAGTCGCCCCGCCGCGGAGACTCGGAGGAACATGCGGGGCTTTTCTCGCAGTCCCGCGGCTCACGTTTCCCCGCGATTTGCATGTGGGCCCAAACCGTGGCGGCGGGGCTCGGCGGGGCGCGGCGAGGCGCGGTGTCACTCGGGGCTCCTCCTACGCCCGTTGGCCCCTTGCCTGCCCGTGGCCGCCTGTGGCCCATTCCGAGCCGGGTGCTCCGTCTCTCTCGCTCCGCCCCGGGACGACCCACGGCTGCGAGAGAGACAGAGCGACGAAAGCCCCGTTCGGAGGCAGCCCGCTGCCTGGCCCGTGGGGACCGAGACACACACTCCTGCGGGGTGCGGGGGCCGCGGGGGCCGCGGGGACGGCGGCGGGTCTCCGGACAGGCCCACCGGGCGGGGCCCAGGGCAGCCGGGCGGGGCCGTCCGGGCTTATTGTCGCGGGGCCCCGCGAGGGGCACGGCCTGCCCGGCCTGCCCGGCGTGGGGGCCGACGTCGACGTGATGCTACGTGCGCCCCTTTCCCGATGCCGCCAGATGGCGCCGCCGCCCCCGCCAGATTCGCACGCGCCACCGCACGGTGGGCCAGAGGATTGGCGCCGGCGGCCAAAAACTACACGCTTTGAGCTCCAGAGTCACTAAATGGGACTCAAACCGAACGTGTGACCCCACCAATGGATTCCCCGTTCGGAGAGCAATCCATTGGTGGGGTCACACGTTCTGTTCGAGTCTCATTCAGCAACTCTGAAGCTCAAAACGCGTCCGGAATTTTGACCGCCTCCACCGGTCTTCCGGCCCACCGTGCACCGGCCCGTCCTGGCTGTCCTCCTCCAAGCCGCGTATTACGATGACGGCTCACTTCTTTTCGAGATAAAAACGTGCTTGGACGACGACGCCGTGGCGGCGCTACCGCCGAGCGCGGCGCGTGCGAGCGTGCGCCTGCGGCGGCAGGGGCCAGAGGCGAGGCCAGAGGCCACGAAGCAGGCCGTGCCGCGGGTCAGCCGCCCGACGCCGCCACGCCCGTCTGGCGGCCCCTCCCCTCCCCGCCCGCGCCGCGCCCTCGCCCCTATCTGGCCTCGCGGCCGATCGCGCCGCCGTGGGGACTTTCGCGGATAGCGCCCCCTCTACCGCCACGGCCGAGCCGACGGCTGCCGACGGCCAAGCACGGCGCGCCACCGGCCGGGCCGCCTTTTTCTCTAACTGTGTCGAGGCGCGGCGGGCGGGGCGCCACCAGGCGGGCGCCATCCCGAGACGAGCCCGCCGAGCCAGCCCGCCACGGCAGCCACGGCCCCCGCGCGGTGGCCGGGCCGAACCGTGTAACCAGTCCAACTGCAACCACGTTTTTAGGGCTGTTGTCGGCGGAAGCCCCCGTAGCACTATCAAGCGGAGCGATCTTAGGCCGGAACGACAAAAAAATTGAAAAAGCAATTATTGGTTGTGAAAGTGCGTGTGGGTGATTGACAGATACGGGCAGGGCACGCGCCTGCCACCGAGACGAGAGGCTTTTCGAACGCTTGCGTAACCCCGCCGCGCCCTGCACAATGGAAGGCTTATCGCTCGGCTTGTCGGCAGACGAACACCGCGCGTCCACTATAAAAACACGACGTGATATCCGGGACGCCGTGCGAGTAAGCCGTCCGGTGCTTATTGGCAGTTCGCGGCCCGCGCCGCTCGTCGTGATGAATGGGCGGACGCTGTGTGTGTCTCTCTCGCACTCATCGGGGCGACCCGTAAGGCCGCATGGGTGCGAGAGAGAGGCAGCGACGACAGCGTGAAATGGAAATGAGTGGCGCGAGGAGGAGTGCGAGTGAGTGACCCTCGCCGTCGCTGGAAGTTGAACCCGAGCGAGGCTAGCGGACACTGTAACGACTCTCTGTAAAGCACGCGGTGATGCATCGCGCGTCAGATTAAGTGCAAATCAAATCTTAAAGGCTTCCGTGTCAGTTTCCGTCTCGTTCCCGAACTCGTTTTAAGCTCTAGAATCGCTAAATGGGACTCGAACCGAACGTGTGACCCCACCAATGGATTGCTCGTTCGGAGAGCAATCCATTGGTGGGGTCACACGCTTGGTTCGAGTCCTGTTTAGCGACTGTTTTGGCCGCCTGCGCTGGTCTTCTGGCCCACTGTGCGTGCCGTGCCGTGCCGTGCGGGCCATGTCGCGGAAGTGGCGCCGCTAATAGGTGTAGCATAGCGGCGGTAAAGGTCGTCCGCCCGGGTGGAAGTTTTCTGCGGCTCGCATTGGGCACTGCACTGCGATGCAAACGGGAAGTTGCTGCACCGCCGGCCGTCACCACCTAGCAGGCTGGAGAGAGAGAGAGAGAGAGAGAGAGAGAGAGAGAGAGAGAGAGAGAGAGAGAGAGAGAGAGAGAGAGAGAGAGAGAGAGAGAGGCATGGTCTTGCCGGCCGGTCAACTCATTACGACTGTAGGC